GATTGAAAGAGAAAGGACAGGGAGGTTAACCAGTTCTCAGAGAATGGGGGAGAAGGGGGGAGGGGGATCAATACATTCGACTGAGAAGATTAAGAGTGATTTCTCCTTTGAGTGATTTCTCTTATGCATCAAATGCCCGAAATTATAATGACCCAAAAGGAATGGATGACTCTAAAACATGACTTCTTTGTACTTGCGAAAATTGGGAGACAGTGGAATCATTGTGGCGAGACTTGGTGTATGAGTACAACGTTAATGCTAAAGCAGCTAATGCTGATTGATTAATAATAACAACCGATAGACAACACGAGCCATAAATGACGATACTTTAGTTATGCCAGAGTACTTCAATGCTTTTTATTAAGGGACTATGGTTATGCCTAGCCAACGCTAACTAACGCTAGCCCTAACTTAGTCACTATTACGTAACATCAGTGAGTGTTAACCAGCGCTGGCAGAGTGAGCGCAAGTGAAACAGTTCAAGTAAGGTTGGTGTTATTGTGATTCTCGATATGTTACACAGCACTGCCTTCAAGATCGGCCCGCATTTTTTTTTTACACAAATCGGAAATCATCGAACCCTTTTACGTAGGTCGGGTGAAAGACATTCTCTCAAAAACGTTTCTTTAAACCAGGCCTATGCTGTTTCGATCGATGCGCAGCTAGTGTAATCAAATCGTGCTGACCTCGATGCAATTCGCTGGGTTTTTTTTTTTTCTGCGTGTCAGCATATGCCTTACCTAATCCCCCTGACCCTTAAAAAAGCCAGATCAATGATTAACTTTAGGCAAAGCTCGTTGCCTGAGAAAAAGAGAGAGAAGAAACTGGAAGAAGCTTTTTTATAGGCAGATTTTTTTGCTGGTGTGCATACCACAGGCCTTACCTGACTTGCTGACCTAAGTGCGAACATGTCACCCTGAATTTGATGAGAGAACTGTATTAAAGGATATGCTAGATAAAAGAAAAATTACGTTTTGAGTTAGTAAACTAGATAAAGATATGATAATTTTAAGCTTCCAATGTCACGCTTCTGCTAGTATATGAACCACAAGTGGGCGCGACAAGCCCTTGTTTAATTTAGCTGAAGCATATATTTTTAATATCAATTGCATATTAAATGTCGGAAGGGGCTTTTATTAAAGTCCTATACAAAATCTCAAATAGTTCATTTATTCATTCATTCATTTTTTTCATTCATTCATTCATTCATAATAAAAGTAGCGATAACAAAAAGCCCTGAGCTGTCAGACGACCTCCTTTTGACAGCACTTTGATAAACTTAACTTATTCCTGCATTGTTAGAATAAGTTGTAAGATAAGTAGTTAGCTAAAAGATGGCGCTGTAACTTCACCGACATTAAACAAATTATTCTGAAAAACATATTTGTTGACGCTTTTACCGAGCTAAGATCTGAAGTATAAAAGCACACCGAGATGCTTGATCAAATGCTTTGCGAAGCCAACACACAACTTCTCGCTGTATTCCGTCTTTCTACGATAAATGCAACTAAAGGCATCCTTACATAAAGGACAGTGATAAAAAAAGACCTTGTAGAATTGATCAATGCACAAAAAAAATAATACACAGGACCAACAGAACAGATAAATCTTAGGGGGCCTTACAATTATTAGCGTATATTGACCGGGAGAAACCATGCTCAGAGATATACAAAAGTTGCATAAAGAAAAAGACGTAAAATCAGTCAAGTAAAAGTAATAGCAAAAAAAGAAGAGACAAGAAATTTAGCTAATATACCGTTCTGTAATGTTCCGTAATGAATTAGGCGTATTCCAGTATCCCCATATGACTATTAAGCACGAAAGTCTTGCAGTAGGTAATAAGTCTAGACTGAGCAGTTTGTTGCCGCGTGCCACCGTTGAAATATAACCTCAGTAGCGCAACCGGTGGCGTAACAGAGAAGCCGTTACTGAGTCTCCCTTCGGTGACGGCACGGCGACCTCAAACGCCAGAAACCGGGGTGGGCCCTGGTGCGACCTAGCGCGAAGCTCCCTGAACCGCGTCCGCTATAATTGACTGGTTGGCCTTTGAACGCTCCCTCCAATGTAGGCCACTTCAAGCCCAGCAGTGGGTGGGATGAAGAAGACGACGAGGCGGCGGCAGTAATATTAGCTCCTCTGAGTCACGCAAACAAGTCAACGCCGCGGCCCCCTTTCGCGCGAGGTGGAGGAATATTAGGAATAAAAGAAATTCCGGCCTGCCTGCCTTGCTTTCACCCAACCCACCTCTTTCTCCAGGACGACCCGTTTCCCCGTTTTCTTGGCTAGTCGCGCAGCTGGCAACTCGAAAAAAAAAATCTCCTCCCCTCTGTCGCTCCCTCCCCGGTGTGACTCTACGCTTCTGGAAGAAGAGGAACAAGCTAAAATAAGAGCCGACCCGCACAAACAACGGCAGCATAAGCAACAAAAACAACCGTGCAACGAGGGACAGGCACGTCTGGGGGCGTCATCTTCGCTTTCAGCAGTGTCGGAGTGTTTTGCACACGGCCGCTACTGCTCATGCTAGAAGCGTTCGGACGCCCGCTCGCAGCCCCCTTTCAACATTGCCAAGGTCACCCTTCCAGGAGGCCCGTTTCGCATTTCCATTCCATGGGAACACCGCAAACGAGCGAGATTGTCGATGTTCTACGGCTAGTGTTTGTCAGCAATCTGTTCGTAGAATTCCGAGAGAGAAAGAAGTTCGGCTAAAGATGAAAATTGGAAGAGATAGAAATTTAAGACAAGCACGCTAAGACAAGCAGTTCAGTCCTTGAATACATACACTCGCAAAGGTAGCGAGTTAAGGTAAGCAGTTACATCATCGAAGAATACAAGTACGCCTGTCGTAACGTTGGCACCAGCGACGCCCCGGGGGTCGTAAATTCTTCACCTGTTTCTAGTATTTATGATACTATACAAAAGGAAGGTGTTTTACGCGCGAATCACGGACGCCGAAGTGAGAACTTCTGACACCGTCGACTCTTTCTGTTTGCGAAATAAGTGGGGTGTGCGACATTTTTCTAAGTCCCATTGTTTCGTTGTCAGGGCAGATGCGCCTGGTCGGCATTTGGATCAAATAACTCGCGCATAGCGGAAAAATTGCAGTCTCCGAGACGCACGCGTTAGTGGAGATTAGTATTGGATTAGGATTGGAGATTGGTACCCTGAAAGCGATAATCAAATCGTTATACGATTTGATTGTCGTGGCAAAAAAATACGCGGTATATTCATTCTTGGTGAAGACCTTTCTGGGATGCTTTCAGTTTTCCACGACGTAACCTTTATATCTTATAGGAGGAAATGGAACACTGTTGGATGTATCAGTCATGAATGTGCGTTTTGCGGGTACATCTCTGACACTGATCACTTGAGCAGTGGGAAAATTAAACAGCCAAGTCCACGAAAATCAGTCATAACTTCGAAACTAGATGTTATGTATTTTAATATTTGTATCAGAATGGTAGATAGTACGATTTTCGTAACTGTATGCAGTCGAAGAACAGCTACGTCCTTAACTAAGAAGGCTTAGTCTGGATATAGCTTGTGCGTACTTGATATATGTCTTTTATAAAACACGGAGGTGAGTGTATGTCGTGGTACGTGAACTGGTTCGATATAAGTGACACATATCGTAATATAATGCACTTGAAAAGCATCGACGTACTGCCACTAGCCTCGAGTCTTTCTCAAATAGGTGCCCCAAATGATGGCATAAACATGTAAAACCCTACAAAAAAATCTGAAGGAGTCACCGCCAAAGTTTTGAGAGTTTCTTCGAGTGAGAGCATTAGATTACACTAAGCCAATAGAATAACGCTTAGACTTGACAAGTACTTGACGTGTATTATTTCTAGCCTTATTACTCGTCATGGTTACGATAATAGTAATCAGAAAAAAAAATTCCCGAATAATAGACCATTTTGCAGCAAGTTCAAATGGTGGCACGATTACTGAGTGGAGGCAATCGTTAGCGTGAAACGCTTGTTCCGTCATAAAATATGGGTCCAATGAAACAAAGATATATGTAGCGTTAGCGAAAAACTTTAAAAATACGTTGTTCTGATATTGCATTTTTTTAACTTACAATAATGACATCTCACATCATTTTTCTTAAAATTGTGGCCAAACGTGCATTTGTAAATAACTAAAGTATATACTTAAACGGCTTCGGGCCATCTTGGCAGCAGTAACTCAATACTTCCTTTGACTTTGCCAAAAGAAACGAGCTGCCCGAGATGTGGTTAAGAAGCACGGTGCAGTAAATTAGCTCTGTATTATTTTGACTGTATCGGCTTCTTTAACGAGCGCGTAGATCCAAGTAGACCCAAGTGTTTGTTGTGTTTCACTTTCGATCGAGATGCGGCCACCCCGGTTTGGGAAATCGAGCCCGCGTCCACGAACTTCGTATCTTAAGGCCCATTCATACCTGCAGGAGTCGTGCTACCATCTGCGATGGGCGATCAAAAAGCGACTCTACGCGTCCGACGTTCACACCTGCGTGTGAGCTATAACCGTTGTCACCGAGAATTCACGCCTGCTCGCACTGTCATTACCCCGCGCAGTAAGCTCACGTCCCGTTCCCACTCATCTGATTGGTTCAGGGGTTTACGACATGCCATCACGTGACTTAAAAACGAATCAGCGAGCGACTGAGCCGAGGCGGCCAATTTGCCAGCCAAAGTGGCCATTTACGAAGCATTTCCTACCACTCGCTTTGCGACTAACCTGGTCGCGCAATCAACGCTCGTCGCAGGTGTGAACGAGCCTTTGGCCGCTAAGCGACCTCGGCGTGTCTATTACAGACGTTACTCTTCAAGTGCTACGCGGAAGCGCATTCACTAAACTGTGGAATGTGCAAGGAGGGACGGTCGTTAGGCGCATATAAGTGCGGCAGCGATTTCGTACGATATTTGCTTAGCGAGCCCAAGAAGGCCTCTCTCTGGGTCTGAAAGCGGCCAAACGCAGCTCGCGATGTGCGAAGAGTAATAGAAGATTGGAATTACCGTGTCCCCATCACGACGGACGGGTGTCGGCGACGGCAGCGACGAGGCTAAAATCCACACGGGTCCCGACTCGTCGAGCGCGCCGTCGTGTGGCCGCACCAGAAGCCGTCGCACGGGGGGATCGAGCACCGATCCCCACCCTTTCTCTCTCGCTCTCTCAGCACTCCCTCTCCGGTGGCTCACTGGAGACGGACGAACGAGCGGCACAAGGGAGTAGTTAATCCAGCGGAGGGCACATTCCCGGCGGCAGGACTTCCGAACACCGAAGGATACCGTCGCGCAGCGGAGGCGACGAGTCGTTCGTATTCCGAGTTGTCTCTTGTTTTCGAGGCGGTCGTGCACGTTCTCGGCGGAGGTGGGGGGGCACCCCCGATCCTCGAGGTGGTGGAGGAATTCCCGAGGCGCTGAAAGTGCCGGGCGGGCGGAGCGCGGTTTTTTCGTAAAGTGGGCCGGGCACCGCCGCCGGGACGGGTGTAAAAGCGAGAGGGTGGAGAGAAGGCTTAGGTGGGAGAGAGAGAGCAGCTTCTCTCCGAGAGGTGTATACAAAACGGCGAAAGTTGGGGGGGTCCGAGGGTGCGGGGGAGGAGAACGCCGAGACGGGCGGTGTGCACGCAGCACCACTGGCCTGTTTGAGGAGGGGAGAGAAGGATGGAAGATGCTGCGACTGTTCCTCTTGCCCCAACGAGCGTCGTTGCCTTATCGCAGCTACACTACTCGGCCAGATTGCGTGTTTTACAGGTATTCGAGAGGGGGAAGGGGGGCTCGAACGCGCGAGCGCTTCGAAGGCCGACCTTCGAGAAGGTCGCCCAAGACGCGCGGGGTCGGGCAGAGAAAGGGGATAACCGAGATTTTAGAGCGAGATTAAGACGCGTTCGCGAGGTGGCGCCAGAGACGGAGCTCGGGGATTTGTTCGCAAGATGAGCTGAAAGTGAAGGAGAGATTAGCGGGAAGCCGCTCTTTATACGTTGATCTTCTTCTTTGATTGTCTTTGCAATTCACCTCGTGTTCTTTTCTAACTAGTACATTCATTGTTTTTGCTTCGTTCATGATTGCTTTAACGTTCCTTTTTTCTCTGCATGCTCTCCCGTTATGTAATACCCCGACTGGCGCACTTGAGAGTAACAAAAGATAAAGAAGAAGATGGTGATGGTGATGATGATAATATTTTAAGAAAACTACCTTGTGTGCTCAAATAATTAAAATTATTTTCTTTGTTTTGATGGCGGCCTCTGTATCAGCATCGCTATGCTTCAGCACTGAGCATCTTTACGACGGGGAGCTGTTTTCCTCTGCGTGCATTCTGTTACTGTTCTTGCGTGTTTTTACTTTGGGCCACAAGTGTGCGTGCGTGCGTGCGTGCGTGCGTGCGTGTGTGCGTGTGCGTGTGTGTGTGTGTGTGTGTGTGTGTGTGTGTGTGTGTGTGTGTGTGTGTGTGTGTGTGTGTGTGTGTGTGTGTGTGTGTGTGTGTGTGTGTGTGTGTGTGTGTGTGTGTCCTCCTGCTAGCTTTTTTAAGTTTGGCTTCTTTGTTAAACACATCTATCTAACAGGCAAAGCACGCTTTACAGGCCAAATCAACATTCGAATAAGGATCACCGTCTTATTTATCGTTCCACAGATTACGGAGCAGTTACGCTTAGGCTTATTTTCGAGGCGTATGCATATTATAAATTGCAACGTTAAATACTTGCACCTGACAGCGTGAGATAGATCACTTCTTCCTATTCGTCAGTACGTTGGGCACCCATGAGCATTGCCCAAAAGAGGGCGCGATGTGCATGTATCGATATATTAATACAGAGCGTTACATGAGAAGTAAACTGAGGTGTTTGAACCATTCTAGAGGTCCGCTTCAAAAATAGATTTTCTGAGCTAAATTTCAAAGAACAAACGCCAGGCTGGTGCGGAACACACAGCACAGTCACAACGTAAGCTGGAGGAGCACGTTTCAAGCTCTCTCAGGACTCCCAGTCCAAATACAGCCGCGCAATAGCCCTTAGAACGCAATTCATGACCACTTTCTAATGTAGCATTGTACACACTATGGGTCTAACAGGCGATGTGTGCACCTGCGTATCTGCGCATTTTGTTGATGCTGGAGTTTTTTTTTTTTTTTGGAAAAGGGTGGGAAGCTTTAATAGATCGACTGGTTCCGCTAGTTAAATGGTGTGCGACGCCTGATGCGTATCTATGTCTCTATCTCGCAATACTACATATGCTAACACAAACCCTCGAGCGACACGACACCTCTGTAGAGTGTACCTTTGGAGAAGACCCGACACAGGCGCTGGCGTGGCTCTTTTGTTGAATGCTCGACTGCCACGCAGCGTGCCTGGGATCAAACACAGCTTAAACCCTGGATTTTATTACTGAAGTGACTGGAAGCCTAAAGACACTATTAAAGTCTGGTAAAGTATCATCTATACCAGTGGAGAGTCTGCGCTTCCTCATTTAACAATGAAGAACTTTCATGGTATAACTGTCGTTTAAGCGCACGAATCACAGGTTTAATTAAACGACACTTACACCATGCCTATCCAACTAGCCAAACTTTCGATTCTGAATAACTTTCAGTCAATCAAAGTGATGTGCCTAAAGTGAGTTTTTGTACCTCACGCAGCGACTTCTGCCTTGACAAGTTGTACTTGACTTGTCGGCTGACAGCCCCGTCGCGGTGGTCTAGTGGCTAAGGTACTCGGCTGCTGACCCGCAGGGCGCGGGTTCGAATCCCGGCTGCGGCGGCTGCATTTCCGATGGAGGCGGAAATGTTGTAGGCCCATGTGCTCAGATTTGGGTGCACGTTAAAGAACCCCAGGTGGTCGAAATTTCCGGAGCCCTCCACTACGGCGTCTCTCATAATCATATAGTGGTTTCGGGACGTTAAACCCCACATATCAATCAATCAATTGTCGGCTGACAGTGTCCACGAAATGCCTTACGTAAGCCATTGACAGCAGGCTTAACAGAATCTGAACTCGGGGAGGAGCCAGCTGACCCCTGCTAATGTCCCTCGCGAATGACCACCGCGACCACTTGACGCATGGCGCGGCCGCAAGGTCGCTCCACCACGTTACCTCCCTCCGCCTCCTCCGTTTCTCGTGCACCGAATAAGAGAGAGAAAGAGGGTCGGGGCGTTTAGCACACTTTCGATTCTCGAATTAGTGGCGGCCAGGTTTCGGCTGCCAAGCCTGGCTTCGTGAGATATGACCGCTCACGTTGGGCGGCTGTTCGCGGGAGGGACGCCAGAAATAACGCTGCTGCCGTTTTCCTCGGCGCCGAGTGGAACGCAGCAGTGCTTCTATGCGCCGCACCGGATGAAAAGAAAAAAACTAGAGAGAAAAAAAAAGGTAAGGACCGTGAGAAAGAAGAAGATGGAAACAGCGAAATGATGGAACGTCGAAGGAAGAAAAAATAAGAAGTACAGTGACGTAGGAGGATCGGCTGGAACTGTGAAAGAAGAAAGATAAAGTAGATGGAAAGAGGCAGCGTAGGTCGTGTAAAGCGGAGCAGGAGGATCAAGAAGTAAAGCGGATTAGTGAATTGTTATAACTCTGTGCTTCGCTTCTTGGTTATCGCGAAGGTGATACCCGATAATGGTCTTGCGATGTACATAAATTATCGTTTTTTTTTCGACAATACACCACTGCTGCAAGTTCGTGCCAGTCCTGAGTTTTCGTACAGTTCTTGTACCGCTTACGCCACGGTTTTTTTTTTGTTGTTGTTGTTATTCAAATCAGGAGGGGGACAGGAGAACTCACCCGACGAATGAGAAGAGAAGGAGTAGTGGAGCTACGTGAGAGAAGGCAAACTGCAGAGAAAGAGAAAGCTTTCTCTTCGAGCAAAGTGCGAGTGAGTTGGTAAGAGGAGGAGAACGAGAGGGAAAGACTCTAACGGCTAGCAAATAAAACAAACGTGAAAGAAATAGAAAGCGCAAGAGAAAAGCTACCGAGCGGCTCCGCGAGCAGCCGCCTGTTTTATAGCCCGTTGGAAACACCGCGAAGAGTTGCCCGGGCAAACAGCGGGGAAGCATTATTCAGCCGCCTCAACGACATCAGCTGTTTGCCGCAGCCGAGAGCAGATCGCTGGACCGTGCCAAGCCAAACTCGTTTCTGCGCGGGCCGGGAGCCGCATAGCTCTCCGGGTCCGCGGAGTTTTTGAAACAAGCCCGCGAGCCGAACTTGTCCGAAGGTGTGAAGATTACTGACAGATGACTGGCATGCGACGTGAGCAAAAAGCTGCCTTACCGTCCTCGGATCTCTAGACGGCGAAAGCACCCTCACACGCCATTCGAACAAGAAAGACAGCGTTCATTAACAAGCGCGTAATGAAACGTTAGCCGTCGTTTCGTATACATTCATGAGGTTTCGCGTAACGCCAGAAGGGTAGATAGACGAGCAGGCGTTCGAGTGGCTTTCTCGGCCCCGAAGGAGCAAGCTGCACTTTTGAAGTATCAACCATGAAAGTAGTGCACGTCATATTAAACACCAAATTACCTTCGTTAATTGTGTGCAAGGTTTAGTATACGATTTATCATTAACTTGTGCCAAAAGGTACACTGGGCAAACCGGTGGAGAAATTTTCAAGTTTAGTAAGGTACAAATATAGCAAAGCGTACATAAGAAATTCCAACAAAATAGCAACTTTTTCCTTGGAACCCCGGCTGATTAAAACACTTCGAAGACCTTGGCTAGGTTGTCCTTCACATCAAAAGTTGGTTTGCGAGGCGAAACTTTATAAAATAAACCAACAATGTAAAAGTCACGAGTAGTAGGTAGTGGTACGTCGCTCGGCTATACTCCTCTGCTAGCCGAAGACAGCATGCCTCACACTTGACCAAGAGCGTTGACCATGATCAGAAAAAACAGGCTAGTGATACTGAAGCGCTTATCGCGCCTGATTTTTGGAGTAAAATTATAATAAATTTTTTTTTATGTCATCGTCATCATATTTGGGCGTAATGCAAGGCACGTTCATGCAGATGCAAAAATAGAATAAACGAGGCCAAACGAAAAAAAAAGTAAGGAAGGTTTTTCAACTCACTGGTCCATAGGCTCGTCAGCGGCTGTAAAAAAAACAAAACAGAAGCAGAGTATGAGTTAACTGCAATGATGGCGCCAGCAAAATAATACACAGTCGAAGCCAGGCGTATGCACTACAATCAAGTACGTTACGTCATCATTATGGTTAAGGCTTGTGAAATTCATTCTTGGTTGGAGCAGTAAAAAAAAGAAGATGCGAAAAATTCTTCGTTAGAACTGAATTTCACAATTAATACAGAGTCAAGGTCACATTGTTAAGCTCCATTTGTTGTAATAATTAAGGAAGCATGAGCGCACAGGTTCGGATCCCGGCCACGGCGTCTGGAATGGGGTGAAGTGCAAGAACAGTCATTTATTATATTCGAGTGAGTGCTAATAGAACTTGACGTGAC